CTTCTCACATGGCTCCCTCACACGTGCTTCATTCAAAAATAACATGATGTAGATTCTGATGATTAACTTTAATGTGACCCCTTTAATCATGATCATCAAAAGCAAGAAAGGTGCTTACTCCTGCTTCCAGTGAATCCACTGACAACCTATCATTTTCTCGTTAAAGTAAATTCTGTCTAAAAGGCAGACACTAAGTCTAACTTAATGTCTTCACATGCTGTAGGTGAGGCATTTTAATTGATATTCAATATTTTGTTCATGCAGCTGACGGATAAATTAAAAATACTGGCATCAAATACTGGAGGGTTGGCCAACTGCCATTAGCCAACCCTCAGCCTCCCAGTCAACATACCTATGGTATTATTTTGAAAATCCTACGTTACCTTGTTTTCAAATGACTACATTCACAAACTTAGGTGTCCACGTTGCCCGCACGCCCAGGGGGGTGAGGACAATACCCCATCAGCCTTTTGCCACTTTGCTTCCCTCCTGTTTGACGCTCTCTTTCAGGGGTAATTAATTTGTAACTCCATATTTGTTCTTGCACTCAGAAATAATCAGTTTTTTAAAAAAAGATAATAAAATAAAGGAGGATTTTGAGCTGTTTTATGGTGCATTCCATTTTCACTCCTCTCCTTTAAGGCCACTGTTTCTTCTGATTGGCTGCCCCTCATAAACTTTAGCATTTACATGCTCAGTTTTGGCTTGCAGAAACTGATGTTCATACAGTAAACCCATTATTTGAAACTTCTGGCATGTGTAATATGAGAGTTAATGAATAACTGTAGGAGTACACTAGGGCAGTGCCATATCTTACCATCCTCATCTGGTATATATTTTTACACAATTAAATATTCCTTAGCGTTCACACAGAGCTAATCACTTCTGTCTCTAAGAAAAAGTTGCCAGATCTGGTGCCCAAAACCACTGGGTGACATCACATTGACTACATCCTTCATTTAAGCAAAGACTGAGGACATAGTTCACATTAGTCAACAGAGCCCATCCTAGTATTTACTGTATTTCATCATCGGATACCAAACTGATACAAGCATTAGAGTTTTCGTGTGCCAATTTGTTAGCTAATAATAAACCCTGCTTTGAAGTTAAAGAATAAATACAAGGCTGTTCTATTATAATGATAGGAGGAAAAACCTACTGAGCCTCAGTATATCAGAGTGAAAATATGCAACATGACTGTTGGCTGAGAGAGGCTGAAATTAATGGCAATGCATTTTCTATCGAGGATTTCATTTATCATTCATCTCAAAATATACTCCACTCCGACACTGAACAAACTGACTGGTTGGTAAAATACTTACGATGCAAAGTGGCTCTTACTGTCCAGTCTGCATATCAGGAGCAATAAGTTAACTAGCTGAAATAACAAACAAGACTCACATCTACTTGACTCCACATTGACACCACAAGAACCAAATTATCTCCCTTTTGCTAAAGCAAACCTTCTCCGCTCGGTAGAAATTAGCACAGTTTTCCACAAAAACAGCAGAAACGTTTGATTCATACATCTCACAACACCATCTCAGTTCCTCAGTAAGCCAATGACAGGAGCTAATGTTAGCAGCCGCAACGCTTTTGGCAAAATAGACAGAGACAAAAATGAATTATTTATTTAAGCTATGCTTTGAGGATTTTATCTTTGAGTACAAAAAGTGCAGACAACATCAATTAATTACACAAAAGCAGCAGGGAGTATTATAAACCCATTATCACTGCGTAGTGAATGAAAGCTCATGGAACCAAACTGTGAAAAACTGTGCTTGATATTACATCTGATCGTTTCCAAACAGCAAAACAACAAAAATCTGCAAAAATCTATTTGTTTAGATAATCCGACATTCAGACAACTTTAATTTCACAACTGTTTTATCAGGTTTTGGTGAAATGCAAATGTTAAAAGTAACACTTTTAAAACAGTAGCACATTTTTGAAATTGGCCTAATATTATACAACAAAAGTCACAATTATGTTATAATATGTAAACACAAAACAAACAAAAGAACCCAACAAAAATCCCAGCACTCCTTGTGACTTGGCCGTTTTATTGTATAAATCCAGGTTGGGAGCTTACCACGGCGGCACCTCTGCCCGTCTGCACGCCTCCTAGCCACGGTACGTTGATAGGAGTGCCAGGGTTACTGTGGGTGTACGGCGTGGTGCCATGGAGGGCGGCAAAATCATCGCGTGTATGGACCACCAGGAAGTCGTCACCACCCACACTTAGAGAAAAAAAAAGAAAGAAGAAGAAGTGATATATGTGATGAGACGAGGTGCCTGGCTGGTTCAAACCAGTCATAAAGAGCCATCATTAGCAACAATGAGTCCTGCAACAGCTGGACTGATATGCACAGAGGTTTCAACAACAAACCTGCAAAGTACCTTAACGCCTAACGTGATTTGTGAGCTAATATTTATAATTCTGTATATAAAAACAGATACTCTCTGTGCTATACAGAGAGAGGCAGTGCAGATGCATGTACACAATCTAAAGTGTCTTTATCCAACGCCTACATTTTGCTCTTTTGGCACGAGGGTGAACAGTTGATGACACTCTGGATGAACTCATGGCTGTTTGTATATATGTAAAAAGCAGACTGCTGTCTTACCCTTTGGCTTCAGCCTCGTCATCATCGATCCATGTCAAGATCTGAGTAGCCAAGATGGATGACACATCCAACTCCTGAATGTCATGTGTGGAGGCCATGACTAAACAGTTACGATTGGCCTGGGAGAAACACAGAGAGAGAAGCGAGCGCAGAGAGGATTGGGGTATGGGAAATATGAGTCCCAATGTAAATAAAATTGGATTGGATGCATGTGCCAAATCTGAAATGTAGAGATTCACCAGCACTAAAACCACCCTTTTCCTTTTTCGCTTTTTAGAAGAAGCCAGTACTAATACAGCACTCTGGATAAACACACAGCTCAGACTAACGTAGACTAATGTGAACAGAGATGAATACTGAGAAGAATTCACTAATACCAGGTCCGAACCGTTGAACAAAATGAACAAAAACACAGAAGATAAAAAGGCTTGCACAATCAAAATCTGCACTTTAGTTTGTCATCGTTTCAGTCTGCAGCCCTGAGAGTGCGAACACGTCAGTCTGATTTAGTTTGCACCGACGAATGCAACTCATGCGCCACACATCTATTTGCAGCTGGGGAATCGACTCAAATAGTTGCCATCTTTTTATAATAGTACAGAAAAACAAGGTATCCATCGCATGTAAACAAAGCATCCGATATGGATGTGAAAATGTGAAAAGAGTAAATCGTGATTTGCAATAAGCAAATCACGATTTACTCAAATAAGCATCATATTATTTATCAAAGGGAATAGGGAAGAGCTCCCCCGCCCCATATTCACAATACATATTCCTTAATTTAGTAAGTGGTACTTTTGTTTTACCACACAAGATCGATCTGTCACTATGCACAATTGGGGTAAAGCTACTTGTCTGACTTTTTTGCCTCTTGAGAAATGCAACACTGACATATTTATTGCCTATTAGTCCAATCCTCCTATTAGTCTCCTTCTTTGGTCTGCACAAACTACTGTTAGAAGTATCTGCATCTTCTGCGAGTTCTTCCTCGTAACCGACAACAATGTTTGACCCCCTGCACACATGAAAATATTGATTAGAGAAACAAATATTCTTAAGGAAGATTTCTGGAGGCGAGATTCTTATCCTGGGGGTGTATATCACAGTAAATGTCTAACTCCCACAAAAGGTTACCTCACACTTAACAAGCTGAATAAACTTAACAGTTTATTTAAGGTGTTAACTTTGTTTGTATTACAGTTTTCCAATAGATAAAAGTATGATTCCAATGCTGCACTGAGGAAACTTTGTGTTTATTTAGTTATCCTTCCAAAAACTCTTTAAAGAGAGAGATTACTATATCAATTTAATGGTAATTTTCTTATATTAAATGTTTAATTAAATTGAACCAGAGTAATGCATTCTTTTATTCTCATAGTACTTCGTATTGTTCGATGACATCTGTGTCAGCAAATTGTTACCTTGTTGATGGCAAAGGCTGTGATGATGTCAGATTCCTTGTGGATGATGCGTGCTTTTCCTCCAGGGCTGCCCAGATCTGACTCGGTCTGCAGACAGCAGAAAATACACACACACACACACGCACACAGATTCAATCATTACAACTGAAACATTTCCCGCAGACAAATATCCGCCATAATTTCAGTTTCCTTTCATGCTACAGGACCAATGACCCGACAAGAGAAGGGTTGGCAAGTGAACTATCAAATTATTTGGCTGTAGATGATGCTCATAAATCTAGGTAAGCGTACTCACAGTTTTCTCTGCTATGCAATTTGTGTATTTTATGTTTATGTATTCGCTTGTCTTGCCCTTAGGGTTAGGAAAGGCCATGTTCAGTGCATCAGGCCACACTGTTAAATACAGCAGCCAGCATAACTGGGCTACTGTCATTAGACAGTAGCCCAGCATGAGAACAAAAACCCTTCAGCAATAAGCACAAGTACACACTGTACCACTGTGGTCCTGTGGGATATTGTACAGAGATGTTACACTTTGGCAAAGACAAGCATCCTCTAAGCATGAGATTGAATTAACGTCTTCACCGCATTTGTTCGAGAGGAAAAGACCATGTCATTTTCTGTCGGATGGAATAAAATATAACTTGACTTGCAGAAATCTAAATATGGTGGTTTGCCATTTTTGCCCAGCACATAATCCCTGTAGAATGCAGATTCACTGCGACAGTGTTGGGCCCAATAATCAGAAGCTATTCAGCTTCATAGCTTGTCCTCAGAGAGACTGGGTTAATTAACACTGAGCCAAATGGAGTAGCTATAATATGGGAGCTTGCATGGTGAGAGCAAGAAGATTAGAAAACCTCTATCAAGCATCAGTTTACAGTGCAATTTAAAATTTATGGTTCACATTCACATGAATATTTAGACAGCTAAATGCAAGATTAATATCAAACTCTTGACAAGAGCATTCAGGGTACATGGCACTAAAAATACATGTACTGTAATCTGGTCCTGATCACAGTTTTAGCATTTAAGATAATACGTGACAGGTTCAAGACGTAAAATGTGCACATCTGCATTAAACAGTATGGTCTCGCTTCATATGGTATTTACATTTCATACAGTCACATGTATAATGGCTCAGCCACACTAGAGTAAAAGTAGGACAGCAACCTCCTTGCGACTAGAAACCATTAAATGTTTTTGCTGTTGGTAAATGAATGCAACAGATCCCACAGGTTCAGTGTATAACCCCCGAACACTGAGCAAAAATTTTGATTGTACAGATTACATCCAAACAACTGCAGTTCAACCTGGATCGGATGCAAATAACTGGCATTTAACTTCTAAATGCAGACACATTGTCAACACATTGCAGTCAATCAGACTCAGCTGAGCACAAATCATTTATGACGCCTCTTTAACTCTCGACTTCTACTCTACTGGTTGTATTTTGGTTATACTATGAAAAGCACAGCTTGTAAGTATTTGTAGAGAAGTTTCTGAATTTCAAATCTATGAGGTTTTGACTGATCTCTGAATGTAAGTACTTAATGTTTAATGTGAATTTCTTTGTAGATGGCAAAATTTGCAAGTGACATCAAGAGACTTCTGATCTTTACCCATTTATTCCAACTGCTGTATTATCACAAACTCAGAGCAAACTGACACTGATTTCAAAAGCAATGAGACTGCAAGTTCTCTGCACCCGATCGCCAACAACCGTTTTTCCTTAGTGTGACTGAAGCATAAAGAGGGGTCTTGTCAACTCAGACATACTACTTTGTTATGCACGTCTGAATAAACATGCTACAAGAAAAACAAAAAGGCAAGGTACTGCAGGCTTCAAAGCTTTAAGTTTGCAGTTGTGTCATAGGGACAATATGTAAAACTCATATTTAAGTCCCTTATAAACTATAAAACTCTGTGACCAATTAAACAGCCTTGAAGCGACAGTAATTTTCACTTATTTATTAAAAACAAACAAACAAAAAAAACCACACAAAAAAACAACCTAAAAACAAAAAAAAGAGCAAATAAATGTGGGAGGATTTTTCTTTGAAGCCGACTTGTCAAACTTGTAAAAAATGTACACAACATCTGACATGAATGTTACATTTCTTGCAAGCACGCTATACTTGCAAGGCATTTGATCACCCGCAATCTTTCAGTATCCATCACTGTCGACGTATGTACCAATCTTAGGCATCAAGAACTACATTCAAGCTTTTGCTGAATGTAGTTCTTGATGCACATTCACCAAAAAAAATCAAAAGCTTCAGTTTTTGATTTTTCAGTTGGTTAAATATTGCAACAGATACTGAGGTTTGATCAACAACCCATCCCACTGCAACATCATGAGCAAAAATTCAGCAGAAGCAGTACCTGATTGTTTTCTGTCTCGTCCATCCCTGAACATTTCATATTGTCAGTCTGGTCCTCAACCGACTTTAATGACAGGGGAAGCAGCACAGGGTGGACACACAGACACACACACACACACAAGTACAACCACCACCAGTGGCAAGCCATGCAAACACACACAGAGACTTAATTATTGTGCTGTTAATCAAAAAAGGTGCATTATTTTCATTCAAATAATTCCAACTGGAGGCAGTAATAAGAAAAAAAAAGGATGGCATGCAAAAGAAAAACAGTATAACAAGGATGTTAAAGGAACAATAATGCAGTTTAGCTTGGGAATGATGCATTTTGTCATCATATCAAAATAGTTAATGTGTTATTCAGTGACTATGATTACAATGTGCCAGCAACGCAATCATGCAGCAGGGGGATATGATGTAAATACCTGATGTGTGCCCGGTTTCTTTGTGAAGATATTTCTGATAAAGGTCTCCTGCACTTCTTCCTGCTTCACCAAAAAGTGCCATAAACGTTTAACTGGCAGCGCCGAGTGGTGGCTGGACCTGAAAGGAACATTTAAAATCACAAATCATGAATGATGTTGTTCAAAGAACAGTAAATCCATGGACTATGTTACTGTGGTATCCAACAGGGTCAATCTGCACATGGATAAAATGGTGGCCTAAAAAAAAGGGGGAAAACTGATTTCTGTTTGAATTTACTGAATATTTTTCTATTTACTCCACAATTTATTAAAGATAAGAGACATTTGAGTTATCACAAAAATTGGGATTTTACTATTTTACAGTACCCAGTTAAACAGGAAAAAAGTAAATAACAGACAGTAATTAATCTGTCTTTATCCTTGTGTCTGCTGTTCTGAAACAGATGTTAGCAAAAGTGTTGCAGCTGGATGTCCACTAAGTGGCAGGGAGGATGACTTGGATCCATTAATTATCCACATTTATTTATTTATGGATTATTAGGTTAGCCGTTTCCTTTCTTTTGTTTTACTTTTACTTTTAAATATTATTAATAATACCTTTAATACTAATTTTCATTTAGCATTTTTCCCAAACCAAATTAACTGATGTATTTCTTTATTTTCTCCATCAGTATGCAAATTGTGTAAGTCATGAGTTCACTAAGAACTCTGCAAATGAATTTATTAGAACTGCCAATTGGAATTTTCTCCACTCATGTGGACGCTGTTAAAGACAGTGTTTTAATTAGTAGTATACATCAGCAGTACACAGAGGTGTACTTGCTGTTCATTGTGATTCATAGCCTGAATTTGTATGTAAACAATGCAGGGACAGTTGGGCACTTTCCTCTTAAGCTGCATGCACAAGCAGGGAATATTGTTTGGTTTTTTTGCTGATGTGTTTACTTTGCTGTAGATGAAAACTTGACCCCAGGCCACAAACTGAATCACTGCCACCTCACTTACATGCCAAAATAAATAACAAATATATGAAGAAGTACTGACATAAACAAGTTTGTGGAAATAAACATGGGGAAAATGCAAAGCATTGACTGAGGACCTCTGTGAATACACAAGAGAAAAAAATGAATAAATAAACAAACCACAAGACAAAAAAAGGTAAAAAAAAAAAAAAAAAAAAAAATCTGATTCAATACCTGAAAGGGGTATTTGATGCTTCAAATAGGGCTTTGTGCCTGAGGAGGGCAGGGCCAGGTGTGGCAATTTCATCATGGAGGTGGGTGGAGATATACTTGGAAGGGGGGCCCCCGAAGATCTCCAGCCTTTTCTGCAGCACCTGCTCCCACCGCTGCAGCGTCTTCAGCACAGCATGACACAAAGGAGAGGCCACAGGCAGGTCTGTGGTTAAAAAGAAGACAATAAGACTAGCTGAGACAAGCAGTAAGAAATAGGACAGTGCTTATTTACATCCTGGATGTACATCCGAGGGGCTGGCGTATATTTTAGTTTTTACCTAACAAATCATATCCTGCCGTAAGGTAGAAGGACTTGAGATTGGCCAGCACCAGCTGAACCATGGCCAGCCGCATCAAACACCAACTTAAAAGGAGAAGAAACCAGTTTAGAACCGAAATAGAGTCTTTAAAAAATTACATTTAGGTTTATTCAGATAGAGTGGAGAAAAATTTAGAGGCAGCACAAATAAATAAAAGACAAGCAGCTGTAAAGAGCTTCAGGTTAAATCTTGGCAGCTCAAAAATGAGTCACTGACTGGAGAAATATGCACTCAGTGCTGTGCCAATACCTGTACGAATTGTGGTTTGAATGCTCCCTTTGCGGTGAGTTGGGATCAAACACATCATCATATTCATCGTCGTCGTCGTCTTCATCTTCGCTGCCCTGGCTCGCCTCGGAGTCATAATCAACTCTGTTTTCTGACGGTGGTAGCGAAGGCTTGAATGCAAGAAAATAGAAGACAGACAAACAAAATTGTTTAGATCAACAACAAAACCGTATAAGGAAAGAAGAGACAACTTACAAAATTAAATGTATTATAGAGGATGTTAAATTAAAGTTATATTAAAAAGTCATTCTATCATTATACAGGCTGAAGATGCAACAATATCCCAACAGACATGAGAGCAGATATGCAGGCTTATGTTTTAAAACCACTTCTTAACCACTGTTACTAATATTTGGATTACCTTTGCGATGAAGTAATCCCAAATGCTGAGCTCTGGAGGGACGAACTGTTCTTTAAAGATAGAGGGAGCTTCCTGTTCCACAACAGGGACATGGTGCTTTGGACTCAATGGTCCCTCCCTCTCTATCCCAGACTCTTCCTTGGATCCGCTACGTGATGAGAGAAGCCTGAATCGTTTGGACTTCCTGTCTGTGCCACTTGGTGAGGCTGGAGTGTTGAGAGAAAGTTAAGAGTGTGTTAAATTGCCCTTTCAAGCTGCCATTAAAATGCATCTGATTGTGCTCATATACAAAAAAAATAAAGCACCTAGATTTTTTCCAAATATTTACAGTAACTTTATATCAGGTCTACCAAACAGAGTAGCAAGCACTAAGGCAAACCCACACCCACACAAATAAGTTGGTGGATTTCACTACGCTAACAGTCCAATTAATTTAACAGGATTTAAGTGGTTACAAGGTCACCTTCAGAAGAACACACCAGTGTCACAAAGAAAACTACATCCTCCAAATGAATCACCTGGTGGGGGTGTCCTTGTTGGACTGCTGAGTTTTTCGATGACAGGGATTCGAGCGCCTCCTCCAAACACTGTCACCCAAAGCTTGCTGTTGAGTGGGTGTGCCATGATGCGAAACAGCTCGTTGCAGGAGTGAGTGGCCATGCCGTGAACAAACAGACTGAGGAAGACAGCAGTCAGGATCTCACACAGCAGCACAGCTAAGCCTGGCTGGCTTTCCTCACCTGCTGAGCTCAACAGACGAATCAAAGAGGCGATACCTGGTGAGAGGAACGAGTAAAGGAGAGCGGGGGGAAATAAGAGAAAAAAGAAAAAAAGATATTTAGACAGCAGAATCTGAATATAGACTAAAAAACTACATTTGCTAATTGCTGAGTAAAATATTGAGCCCCACAGACAGCAGTCTTTTTTGTATTTTAAGAAACATTTTATGGAAAATAGAAGTATACTAAAAAGTAAGTAATACATTTAAAGTTTTAAATAAGTCTGGTGACATCATATACAGTACATGGACAAATGTATTAGGCCACACCTCTTAATCTTTGACTTTAGTTTTTAGTCTCACTGGGACAGGTGTAATAAATCAAGCACCTAGCCATGCATTTGTTAAAAAAAAAAAGAAGGAAAGAAAAGGAAAAAGGGTCTTTCGAAAGAGCTCAGGGAATTTGAGCGTGGTACTGTAACAGGATGCCACTGTTGCAACAAGTCCATGAAATTTTTTGCCGTCCTAAATATTTCACAATCAACAGAAAGTTGTCTGACTGCAAAGTGGAAGTGTTTAGGAACCACAGCAACTCTGCCAGTGCAGACCATGTAAAGCTACAGAGCGAGGCTGCTGAGTGCTGAGGTGCATTATGTGTGAAAGTTGCCAACGCTCTGCTGGTTCCAAATCTCCTCCTCCATTAACATCAGAACAAAAACTGGGAGCTGGGAGCTTCATGGCATGGGTTTTGATGGCTGAACAGCTCCTGCCTTATGTCTTATATGAATATCATGAGAAAACATAAGACAATATTTATGTTGTGTGCCATGCATGGTCACATTATTAATAGTGTTCATAATTAAGAGTCCATAGAGAAGTTTAGAAAAAGTTTTTATCTTATAAATTTAGAAACTTGTGCAGTAGGAAACACCACAATCCCATCAAATCCCCTATGTATGGAAGACCCGTGACAGTAACACATTTATGCAATGCTTTGTTCTTGAGTTTTCAGGCTCACAGTCGGTGTTCTTAGTCCATTAGCTAATTAATTTGCACAGATTTGTAGCTTAAAAGCAGTTTCATTATCGAAATAAATAAATTAATAAAAAAAATCTCAGTCTTTCCTCATTTAAAAGCAAATTAATGCAGGAAAGTACTTGAAAATCTAATCAGATCAACTAATCTGTACTTTCTACCTGTGGCGCAGGTAGCTAAAGTGAATTATTCAGACAAAAGCATTAAAACATAACCATGTGTGTAACATATGACATGTTGGTGGGATGCAGAAATAAAACAGCATACCGATAACAAGATTTATTGCAGCGTGTCACAAACAGGAAGGGTGAGCTGGTAAAGACTTAAGTGTGTTGTTCTTGTTTACTGAAAACAACCAAAATATGCTTCGGTGTGAAAAGTTTGTTTTGACTGATTTACCTGGCCACTGTGCAGGAGAAGTGTTGGGCTGAACAGACTCATCCATGCTTATAGTTTTGAGAGGCTGCTTCTGAGACAGCAAAACACTCTGGTACACAGTCCCAGTGAAATGGTTCACGTGGCTGTGGGAGAAACAGAAACAAGAAATCGACCCCGCAAAGTATGAGGTTGCGAAGCCAAACATTTATATTAAACATGAAAAGCTGTACAGAAAAGTGAGGAAAGGAAGGGGTAGGTGGTGTAAATATATAATGCTAAAATGTTTTACTTTGTTCCCAATTCTAGGATGTTGTTTCTAAGAGAAACCACTTTTGAGCTCTGTTCTGTCAGGACATGAAATACTAATGGGCTGCATCTCAGGTTAGCTGCCTATATATGCCGTTTGGTGATAGAGAAGAAACGCTACGTAATAAAGAAAACATCAGTGCCCGAGTTCTCACATCAAGTGGCTTTCGAACATACAAAAATCCTTGGACGGTTAGAGAGGAAATCTTTATAGAGAATATGGAATGCTCAAGTCGCCAGGGAGTCTATTAAGTTTGTAACATCCAATAAGTCCCCCTTTAAGCTCCTACAAAAAAAACCAATTGCCTCCACTTCAAACAGAATTCAAAAGTCAAAGGGAACGTCATTCAGAAGGAGCGGCAAGTCACAACTCTGCAGACATTTTTTCACAACAAACTTTATTCATAAAGCCACACACGCTGCAACTGTGCAGGTATTGTAACCTCAAGTATGTTTAGGCTTCATTTTGATACAGCTCTTGGCTGATTTCCTAACCAAATTAGACTGAAGATAACAAAATCACTGGTAGGAAGGAAAAGAATTAAAACCCTGTCAACCTTGCAACACTCAACCCCCGCAACCTACATCCTCAAAATACCTTTTGAAAATTCACACACTTGCTCAGATGCTCAAGAGGAAAAAGCACTTCATCAAACCTCTGCAGCGACACAACGGGAGATTTTTATATTATAATTACCATAACAAAGATAGTGTTAAATTAGAAATTGCCTTGCAAATTTAGTTACACTATTTAACTCAGAACAGCATGGGATAGATGGCTCTGTGTGTGTGTGTGGGACGATCTGATATCCTCGTGTTGGCGTTGTTCCCACATCATCATAATTAATGTTTTTCCAGGGTCCACATTACAAGTGACCAATCACCTTCTTGTGACGTCATACTTTTGCAACTTCGAAAAATAACCGCCTTCAAAAACAAATGTTCTTCGAGAAACCGCCTTTTGTCCGCCGATCCAGCAATTTGAATTCCACTCAAGATACTTTTCTTTAATAAACGGTAAGCATTATACATATATTTTCCTTGAAATGGCTGAAATGGATAGCTGTTTGTTTGCTAGTGATAGGCTACTTGCGAACCAGTGTTCTCCAGACAGAGAATTGCGTGTCAATGTATTATGATATATAATAAATGTACAGGTGAATATAGCTGTCATAAAGATGTTATCAGGCAAAATTGCAGTAGCTTTCCTGATCATTTTACAAACATAACTGAATAGAATTTCACTTATGTTGTCCCTGGGACATCGTGTCCCAGGGACAACATTAACACGATGGCCCAGGACAAATTTGTAAATTTCTGGATTACTGTTAATCTCCATAGAATCAAGAACTCATGTCCAGTTTCACAGCTATGAACCAGTTAATTATGTTTCCAGGTGATATTTTGATTCATAGATTCAGCACACAACCATTAGTCTAGGCCTTTTAGTTCAAATTCTCTTCACTTATGTTTGTAAAATGATCAGGGAAGCTACTGCAATTTTGCCTGACCCAACCCCCGGGCCACGAAACACCAAAAAAGTTGGGGAACGCTGGTCTAGAGAACACTGGTTAGCTAATGCTGTCGTCAAGGAGCCTATCACTAGCAAACAAACAGCAAACCAAGTGAGGAACATATGTATAATGCTTACCGTTTAAAAAGGATCCTAAAAGGACTTCAAATTCGGCAGACAGACGGCGGTTTCTCGCAAGTGAAGCGGAGCGCTGGATTGACAGACAGAGGCGGGCACAAGTGAAGAAAATTTGTTTTAAGGTGGGTATTTCGAAGTCGCAGAAGTATAATTTCACAAGAAGGTGATTGGTCACTTGCAATGTTGAACTTGGAACAACATTTATTACGATGATGTGGGAACAACGCCAACACGAGGATATCAGATCGTCCGTGTGTGTGTACAGGTTTAAAGTATTTAGTGAAAAAGATGCCAAACCATGAGCTCATTTAATCACATCACTTAGAGTCGCGTTAACTTTGAAATAGTGAGGTCAGACAGCTTGCTCTGAAAGAATAATGAAAGTTTGCTCTCAGTTTAAAAATGAATCTTCATCTTTTCTGATACACGACACACGAGCAATTCTTTCTGCAGTCACGCACTGTGACTCAGGTCCCAGTCTGGTGAAGCACTAGTTAATAAAATTTGCTACATTATTAAGAAAAAAAAAGAAAAAAAGAAAAAAAAAAGGAACTCACATAGCAACAGGGCTGTAAGCCAAATGGGTCATTAAAAAAATGTAATAAATAAAAACACACTCATCCATTCTTAGCTTAAATCCTTCTGGGTTGTTGTCAGAGTGATTGGGAGTTATGGTAGATAAGAGTCTTAAATAAACAATGTTCCTCCCATCTGTCAAAACCAAAAATCTAATGAAGTATTTACAATAAGAATGACATACAGCAGCCCTGCAGCTTTTATAATTCATTCTCAACGTGATCAAAACAGACAAGTAACTGTCATACTTCTGTGTGGTAAATGTCCAACACATCTTTATTTCACCCCTCCCAAAAAAAAAGTGCAAATCTGAAACAAAGAATATGCTTAGATGATCTTGAACAGCAGTTTCTACATTGCTATTACATGTATAGTGTTTGGCTGTATGACTGCATTACGCTCCCATTATAAAGTATGCTTGGTTACCAGCAGTCAGGTCCTGTCCCCATTATTTCTTATTATTCTGCTCCAATAAGCCTAAAAACACTAACACATATACAGGGTGAACCAGAGGACACAAATGTGCATTATTATTGGCAGCATTTTGGCTTTAATTGAACCACCAGGGACATATAATAAGAATAGTTATGACAGATTAATAATTTGTCTTAATATTCAATGTGAAAGTGATGGAAAATGAACAGAAATTTGTTATTAGCTTTGCTTGAATACATAAAGAATTCAAGACTTTTGCTCAGAGATGCAGCCCAGCGGATACCCACAATGAGCTCTAACCTTTTGGGTCAGGTTATGTAAGAGTTTTTCCAAATTGCCCTGGTGAATTTCAGTATAGTATAAAGCTACTCATGTACTCATGATGCCTTGGTGAACAGTGTCTGTAACATGACAGGTTAGGGATTAAAAGTCTAAAAAGTATAGTAAAGTGGGTGTATTTAGCAAATGCTCAAGAGGAAATAAAGTTCTTGCAACACTTACCTGTATGTGTGTCCATCACACAAACACTGATATATACAGGCAGACAAGGAGGCTGCCAGTGTGTGCATCACATAGATCTGAAATAAGAAGCAATGAAAAAAAAAAAAAAAAAAAAACATTAATTAGCATGAGAGTTCAATAATTAAGCTACACTTAAAGTTTGTTTTTCAATCAACGCATAGTTCCCAGAAGTCTGATCAAGAGCAAATAACAGCTAAAAGACAAGTGACTTTTCTATTCATCTGTTGAATACAAAAACACATTCCTTTTCATTTCCCAAACACAAATGCTTCATGTGCAAACAGCCTCCTATATGCAGCATAGCAAATATA